TTCTTCCTGTGAAAGAGCTCACCTCTTCATATATCTGACCTGTAACTTGTCTCGGTGGCATTTGGCATCGTCTGCTTGTTCCCGTTGAAAATAGAAAAGTTTAAACCCACACTGTAAAACATTTTAGACAAAACAATGACCCAATCTCTACGGACCCTCCACTAGAAAAGTTACACCGTGTTGCTTTAAGCTGAATTCGCAATCAATCTTCAAAGCATGAAAACAATAAAAGCAATATTCTGTTTTACATTTGGCGTCTGTATCTCCATAATATGTGCAAATGAGCCAAGTAATCACAGTTTCATGCATTATTGATCAGTTGTTGTTAAAATCATGCTCTTAATGCAATGATTGATCGCTAATTGGAAAATCATTATGGCGCAATCAGGCAGGAATTTGCTCTGATTTAAATGTTAAGAATAGTATGTCTAATTCTTCCATTTTGTCTTTCCCACATAGAGAACCATGTTTGTAATCTCCCCCAATTATCTCTCTAATTACATCTGAGTTAGTGCATGAAAAATGAGGTTTCCAAAGCAGCTAAAGACTTCAGATCGGCAGTCTCCGTGATAGACATTACACCGCTAACAACTATGCGCTTCCTCCAGCAAGTTAATTAGCAGATTATGAGTTGGTGTATAATGTCCTGTAGAGCCCAGGGTGATCTGAGCCAATGCAAAGAAACCTGTCCTATTTTATTAATATGTCAAAATGAATCTCGCTGATACTGACTTGAAATGTCCACGGGGAATCAACGGGAATAAAAGTAAGAGCTTAAAAATATCTATCCGAGGCTAATCCGTATAAGCGCAGTTTAAATGTTGTCTTTTTGGGTGGAAATTATGGAGGAAAATTGCAGTTTTAGTGTCAGCGTAAGTAACGTTATAGAGACTAATACATCAAATAAATATAAATGTATTAAAGGGAACATTTTAGGCTATTCTCTGACCTATGTTATACTGTTTCTTCATCAAAAACAAACCCGGAGTTGTGTTTTGTTTCATTCTCACAGGTTTAACCCTGCGTATTTAGGCAAATCTCTCAAACAGGCAACGCTCTGCTTCACCTTGTGATGTCATGTGGCAATACAAAGTGCTCCACTGTGTTTTTAAACTCTATAATGCAGGGGTGTCCAAACTTTTTTCATCAAGGGCCACATATCTAAACGCAGATGAAGCAGAGGGCCGATCCAGCGCCGTAGACTGGTGCTGAATACAGTGAATAATTGAAATATGTGCATGTTTAACACTGATGGCTCACTCTAAAATCCTCAAAACCACACACTAAATATTAGACATTAGTTTTGTCAAGGTAGATTTACCAAAAAACTTGCAGTAAACGTTAATTTTTATTTGGGCCAATTCACCTGGAAGCCTGAGGGCCCAGAAAAAATTGTCTGAGGGCCGCATTTGGTCCATGGGCCATACTTTGGACAGGCCTGCTATAATGCCTTCACTAAAAATCTTTTGGATGATTTCAGTCCTGGAATTGCCAATCTGTTCTGAACAAAAACTGAAAGGTAGCGGTTAACTTGAAACCTACGTCCATGACATCACAAGGTGGACCAGAGCATTTTGAGCTTTGGAGATACAGCCTAAAAATGACAAATCGCTCAAACAAAACACAACTCCAGGTCTGTTTTTGAGGAGGTAACAACATTATAACATGACTTAAAGCTCACAAGAGTAAATTGTGTGTATTAGGACCTTTAATAAACATAAATATAAATGTAAACAATAACTTTTTGAGTATAAAATAATGGCTTTTCTTTATTTAGTCAACAATATAAAGGTAAATAAAATAAAGTATATGTTATTTGGTGTATGGGGTGAGATTTTGCACTATTTATTGCACTTTATCATTTTTTACATGGCTATTAAAGGTGCATTGCGTAACTTTTCTAGTGGAGGGTCCATCAAATGCTTTTCTCAAGTGGAAATGTTATTATTTGTCTGGAATGTTTCACAGTACGGTATTATTAAGCCTTTCTATCGTCATGGAAACCAAACCAGACCAAGTTACAGGTCAGATCTGTGGAGAGGCGACCCCGCTCACAGTCAGAATGTGTTTTTCTACGTATTTTTGAGCTCTAAAACCACCTGTAATTGATTAAATGTAAGGTGGAGCTGTTTACTGTCACACTGTGGAACATTATATCCATAGAAACAAGCAGGTGACAGACACTCCACCAGAAAAGTTACACAGTCCACCTTTTAAGTACTAAAATAAGTCACTAATGTTTCATTATATATTTACAAGTTGTGCTAATTAGCTAATTTGTGCAGAAGGTTGTGTAGAGTAGATTATACAGGTTAGTCCTGGGCCAACGTAATGAAGTAAGTAAGTCTTTATTTAAATAGCGTTTTCACAGACATATGTCACAAAGACACTTTACAAAGCATTTTTATAGATTCATTATTCTTTTTCTCCACACCCGGTGGTGGTAAGATACTATTGTAGCCACAGCTGCCCTGGGGCACACTGACTGAAGGCGCGGCTGCCATGCCAATCGGCGCCACCAATCCCTCCGACCACCACCATCACTCACACACACCACTTTCATACTAGGCAATGTGGGTGAAGTGTCTTGCCTAAGGACACAACGACAGTTTTTGCGACTGACGCCCCACTGTGCCACCTGATTTTCCCAGTGTGTCCCATCCAAAAACTAACCAGGCCCGGCCCTGCTTATATACAACTTGACCTGTAGGTTTTTGCAGGTGATGAAACCAAAGCAGGAGACGTATAAAAACAACGCTAAAACTCGCCGACTTCGTCTATCAGCTCAAACCCAGGACCTTGTGGCTGTGAGGCGAGTCTTAACCACTGCACCACCATGTCATAAGTATTTTATCGTCAGCGTATAAGCAGATAAAAAGGGGAAAACATAAACATTTTAGTGTATAGGATTTGACGATGGTGTTTTGAAACTGCATGGTCTAACGAAGAAGGAGAAAGTGAAGTAATAAACAATGATATGTCCTTTATTTATATTATTTATGTCATTTTTGTCTTTTATTTACTTATATTATTTGTTTAGATCTACTTTAAATTGTTAATATGAAATCTATTTGGGTGGTCATAATGTTATGGCTCATCTGGGTTATATTGTTTTTGCATTGTGCGTTGTATAAAATCATACATAACTTTAATCCAAAACTTCACATTACTTTGACATACAGTATAAATAAACATTACAGCTACTGCTTTGGAAAATAATGTAGAATCTGTTGAAATGAAACGCTTTTATTCAGATGTCTTCATTTGCATATTTATGTTGATTTTATGTAAACAGTTTAATTTGATTAGACTAATTATGCTGTTTGCGCTGGATCTAAAACAATAAAATGGATAAAGATGGTATAATATGTTTGCATAATTAAAAATCTGTATTTATTTTTTGAATTAATATGGGCTCACAATATTTTTACACTGTTATGACTATGTTACTACTTTATTTGTTTTGAAACTAAACATTTTAAGATCAGCCTTCTTGAAATGCTTTGGATGAGCAACAAAGGTAGGTTTAAGCATAATTAAAGTCATTATGTGCTTTTTGAATGAATGTAGACTCATAATATTTTTATTTTTGTCTGTATGTTCAAGTTTGACTTCATTGAAACGATATTTTGAATCAGCGTTGTTCATTGAATTTTAAGATTATCCATTAAAATTCTAGTTATTTGCTTTGGATGTGCAACAAAGCAATAAAATGGATCAAAAATATATATATTATAGGTAAGTTTAAGCATAATTAAAGTCATTATGTGCTTTGTGAATGAATGTAGACTCATAACATTTTAATTTTTGTCTCTATGTTCCAGTTTGACTTCACTGAAACGATATTTTGAATCAGCCTTGTTTGTTTTATGTTCATTGAATTTTAAGATTAGCCGTAAAATTCTAGTTATTTGCTTTGGAGGAGTAAGAAGCGATAATAAATCAAAATCAAATTATCTTTTTGAATGAATGTAGACTCATAACATTTTTATTTTTGTCTGTATGTTCCAGTTTGACTTCACTGAAACGATATTTTGAAAGAGCTTTGTTCATTGAATTTTAAGATTAGCCATTAAAATTCTACTTATTTGCTTTGGATGAGCAACAAAGCAATAAAATGGAACAAAAAAATATATATTATAGGTACGTTTAAGCATAATTAAAGTCATTATGTGCTTTTTGAATGAATGTAGACTTAATTTTTGTCTGTATGTTCCAGTTTGACTTCACTGAAATGATATTTTGAATCAACCTTGTTCACTGAATTTTAAGATTAGCCATTAAAATTCTAGTTATTTGCTTTGGATGTGCAATAAAATAGAAAAAACATATATATATATTATAGGTAGGTTTAAGCATAATTAAAGTCATTATGTGCTTTTTGAATGAATGTAGACTCATAACATTTTAATTTTTGTCTTTATGTTCAGGTTTGACTTCACTGAAAGGATATTTTGAATCAGCCTCGTTTGTTTTATGTAAAAATTAATCGTAAAATTCTAGTTATTTGCTTTGGAGGAGTAAAAAGCGATAATAAATCAAAATCAAATTATCTTTTTGAATGAAAGTAGGCTCATAACGTGTTTCTTTTATGTGCATGCTGATTAAGACTATTCAGAATCAGCCTTGAACGTGCACATTTTAAGATTATCCTTCTTAAAAATCGTAGTTATTTGCGTTTTTATGTCTGCACTGCAACACGACTTCATGGACTCTGCCTAATTTGTTTCACTGGCCAAACCACAGTGCCCCAAATGAAACCAATGGTGATTTTGTTGCGCCACAAACAACGGCCAAATATGTGTGAAACTATGGGAGCTGTTAGCCTCCAAAACTAAGTCCCGCTGCGCGTGTACCATAATGCCAGAAGGGAGAAGAAGAAGAAGAAGAAGAAGAAGGAGAAGGGAGGAAAAAAAAAACTGCTTCTATCCACCACCAGGCAGCGACCGACCGACCGAGCGAGCGACTACTGGGCATGTTGACGGAGGAGGAGGGAGTAAAAGTGAAATTGACAGGGAAGAGGCGACGGTCCATTGCGCTACACTCAAGTACATGTCTACAGTGAGCGAGAAGGAAAGGAAAGGGGGAGGGTACCACTTAGTCACTGGCTGCTATGTAGATTAACCTTTCAATTAGTAGTTATCGGCTCCTCTGTGTCTCTCCATGCGTGCAGACCTGCGGGATTATCATTATTTGGATACAACGTGCAGCAAAAAAGCCCTGGGAAACGTTTCAATCTACGCGGTGACGCTCCTTCTCCCTCCATCGACCATTATTATGAAGAGCGCAATCCGATGTGGGCAAACTTGAAGAAGGTAAACTACGAGTGCATATTTTTACTGTCTTTTCGAGCCGCGTACGTCGCCTGCACCCGTCGCTAAACATGGGTATAAAACGCTGAAAAAGGTTCATCTATCCTACGGGAAAGCGTCGCGCGTTACGCAAAGAGTCTGTGCCTCCGTGTGCCGTTTTGTGAGAATTTCAGGAGCAAACTTGTATTCCCCCCTGAATCGCGTTTTCTTCGCCTCAAGGGGCTCGCTGTTCCCCCGCCGTCATTGAAGATATTTGATAGTTAACGGTGATAAAGAGGTCATGCCATCGTTGCGCGCGGTACATGACGTTAATATCGCTCGCTGGTAAACACACAACCCACTTTTCATCCCTAATGTGTCTTAATCTCTTCACGTACAACGGGTGCGTTTTTATAAGACAAGAATAGACGAGGTGGGGAAATAAGGTGTTTTTTTTTTTCCTTCACGAGCTTGCTTTTTTAAAAAACGTCGCGTGGATGTGCAGAAACACGGCACGTAATTTATAAAAAACGGTTTCACTTTAAGTCGGCGCGGAGCCTTTGCAGATTTTATGCAAACAGATGATAGATTTAACAAACAGCCAATTAAAGTCTAAAATGATCTAAATCACTTTCAAGTGTAACCAACTGTTTCAAGGAGGAATATGGATTAAGGTGGATCGGCGCTAAACGATCCGCTAATGGGGTCATAAATTAGCCAGTGTAATTAATTCCGAGCTAATTCGCGTTTGTTTTTTTCTCGTTTTAACACGGTAATAAAGCGATCTGGAAGCGGTTAGGCGGTGGAGAGTCGACGTGCTCCCGTACTCCCCGAGCTAAGCGGTGTCAATTCATCTCCGTCGCCACCTTAAGGGGAGGTTCAATTGAGTGAAGTGACGGATAATACAGCCAATGGCGCGCCTCTTAGGGTGCGCTCACACATAAAGATTGACACACGCTTTATCAAACCAGGAATCGGATCTTGTCTTCGCAGCCAATATTGACGTTGCTGGGGAGGGCGCATTAGCGTAGGTAAGCTTTAATGACACTCCATTGGATTGTAATAAGCGTCATGTCGGATTCATGTAAACTGCAACATTGAAACAAAATGGCGACTATTTAGGTGACATCAGTAACGCTCCTGCTGGCACCACTGTCATTTATCGGCGGAAGGAAGCGAGGAGGCGACGCGGAGGGACTCAACTCCGGGTTAGTTCTGTAGTTATAACAGGTTTTTACCCTTTATGGTCACGGACATTTCGTTGCCTTTTAGCGATCGCTGTCAGAAAGTGCAAGCGTCACAATTTGGCTGGGAAGCGAGTCCCCTGCGCTCGGGTATGTCACCGTAACGCGTAAAAAGCAGGGGACCCGGGCTGTCAAAAGTGCGCACTGGGCCAAACTTATCGCCAGCATCCTTCAAGTTAGCATTTAGCTCGTTTCGTGGAGCGCGTACGCAAGGATGACACGCGATATTTCAGCGTTAAACAACTTCAGACTTGACAGCTCGTTCCCTATAAGATAAATAATGTACGCACACGCTGTCACTTCGCCGCGTCTGGGTAGTCTAGAAGTTTCCACGCGTCTCAACTCCTCCGAAATGTGCATCTGGGTTTGCTCTGTGCGAGATTAAGTGGCTTTAATTTCTTCTGCAGACATGACAGCTCCCGCATCTGTTTATATCCATCTGGTTTTCGTGTTTTAGCACATCTTAAAAAGTAACTTCACCCCTTTGCTCCACCTACGCTGAGATTTCTATGGAGGAAAATGCGTGCGTAAAAGTGGGCCATGGGACACTGGCATTCCTAGACTACTGAGAAATGCATTGCTATGTTGTCTATCAAAGCTTGGTACCTATTACAAAGTATGTGCACTGTACAATATGAGCAATTAGTCAATTAAAGGTGCAGGAAATACTTCAATTTGTCATGGAATTAGAGAAAGATGTTGGTATTTGTATTTTTATTTCTATTTATTTAGAGGTACAAGTTTATAAAGCGACGTGTAACAAATACTATACTCACTAACCACTTTTTTAACACTCATACTGTTATTTTTGGTAGTATTAGTGGTAAAACTTGACATAGGTTTTATAGATATCCTTTTTCAAGTCCTAGTTCATATCATTTACTGTGTAGTTTTTTTTGTTTCTTATGATTGAGTGAGCCTATTTCCTCACTGATATTGCGGAATAATATTGTTTATTATTACATGTTATTGCATAGAGCTCATGACCTAGATTTGACCCCAGCGAACCAGGAAGTTATGCACTCAACCCTTTGTCCACACACTTCTGGGTTTGACTGTTTCCGAGTTTGAAAATGTCACCCACATTGGACAGTAGTTCTACATTGCAACAGTTACAAGGGGATTTGAGTAACATTGGTGAGTAAAAATTGAAGTGGAAAATGAAAACACCGAGATCCTTAGATGACCTCTGCAAAGGCAATAGCCTGTGTTGCAATGTTTAGTGTCTAGACTCGGATTTGACGTCACAGTCAAACACAGTTCAGGTGTAAATGCATTTTATGCTGAATCACAAATACACATCTTGACTAAAAATACATTAATTAATAGATAAAAAAATTTAATAAAGAACATAGAAGCTATTAATTACTTTTTCTTTAAGGAAAAAAAATTTAAACTTTTTAAAAAAATTACACGAAAAGCCAAAACCTAAAATATGATTACTATAAAATTTAAAAAAATCTTCAAAAAAAAAATCTTCTGTTTATCCTGCGTAATTCCTATAGCTATATTAAATAAATACATGAATAAATAAACCACAACGAGCTTAAATATGTAAAATATATTATCTAACTTTCACTCTATCTCTCTGCAGATTTGATATTGGATTTCGTCTCTCAACAGCGCCCTCCAGCGACTGTAGTGGATTTTACCAGTGCCAACAGTTAAAACAAAACCTCGGATTGAGTTCAATGCGCGGATGTCACTTTGGAACCTAACTTTTTGACCTTTCCGAAGGATGTGGATATATTCCTTGTTCTCTAGCTGTATGGATTACATATTATTATTATTATTTGCAATCGTGTAACCATGGTAAAACTCGCTAACCCTCTGTACACGGAGTGGATTCTCGAAGCAATACAGAAAATCAAACGCCAGAAGCAAAGACCGTCGGAGGAGAGGATATGCCACGCGGTTGGCACTTCGCACGGACTAGACAAGAAGATCGTTCTCGAGCAATTGGGATTAAGCGTTCACGATGGTTCAATTCTCAAAGTCACCAATAAGGGGAGCACTTCCTACAAAGACCCCGGAAACCCTGGAAGAGTTGGGGCGACCGCGCAAACGCCAGTCGCCACCCCCGTTCCGACCAAGGAATTTAAATGGGATTCCCAAGATCTGCGTCATGTTGATTGGAATAAAATACTAAAGCGAGCAATCGAAGGCTTGGATGATACGCACGGGTCTTCTCTGAAAAATATCGAGAGGTATCTGAGAAACCAGAGAGATTTGGCCAAAGTTGCCTCTAATCCCGCTTTCGGGCAGAGGTTGCGTTTAGCGGCGAAGCGTTCGGTGAGCAACGGCAGGCTGTTGAAAAATGGCCCGCGATACAAGCTCAGTCCACAAGGGGGCGGCGTGGAGCAAGGCAGGGGGCACGCCAGGGGTCCGGGGAGCTCTACGCTGCTGCTGACGACGGTGACGCTCCTCCCACATGAACGTGACCAGGTACGAGCACTTTTTAAATAATTTGCGTTAAATAATATTAGTGCGGTGTTGTAATTTACCGTATAAAGCCATTTTTTACAAGTCCTTCTGTTTTTATTGGTCAATTTTCCCACTTCCTTCGATGTAAAAGATTTCAGAAACATGATAACGAGAATAAGTTACAGTTTGTCCGTAATGTTGATGTGTTAAAAGTTACAAAATAGGGCTTCATCAGTGTTGACTGGCCTACTTGGTCAACATAGTGGTTCTTTTGTTTGTTTTTTTTACTTACAAGAAGCTGTTGTTTACGGTCTCTGTGTCCTGTGACTTGTTTTGATTTATATACATGTTTGCAACCTTATTTAATGCATCTTGAGTTCAGATGTAATCTAAGGATGTAACAATAACCGAAATATCGTGATATTGTATCGTCCAAAGTCTCGCAATAATATCATGGGCTGTCACAATATATCGAATCACAAGTTTCTTTGCTTAAATGCATGGTTTTATAGTCTCAGCAGCTTATAAACATCGGGAACTACATATCCCATGATTCATTTCAGTGCAGACCACATGAAGAAATATGGTTTTGACTTGAATTCTTGGGATTGTGACGGAAATAATTCACACCGAAATCTTGTCAAGGTATTTCAAAAGCAAAAAAGAAGTATCAGCCTCTTCAAAATATCACAATAAATATCGTACCGTGAGATGCATATCGTGATAATATCCTACCGAGAGATTTGGATATCGTTACATGGAATCATTACATTACATTACATTATGGATTACATTCAATACATTACATTATTACAATAATTTACAATAATTACAATCAAATTAATCATTACATTACATTATGAATATCATTACACTGGAATCCAAATGTTTAATGAGTTAGTGCATGTTCTTCTCAAGTACAGCAGTTTCTCCGTCAACCCAAAACACGCAGAATAGGCAGAATCCTCCTCTACCTTGTGCCTCTGCTCAATTTAATTTCTCTCCATCGACTAGGTCAGGAATCAGAATACACTAGACAGTTTACAAAAACCCCGGAAGTATGAGTTTGTGCACCAGCCAATCAGCCAAGAGCCATACGTTCTGTGTTGGCAACGATTCTTTCTTCTCTCTTCACTGTCCCGCAAACTTTAAACAAAATCGGGTCAAGGTACAGTGATGTACAGAGCCATGGTTGAATGCAACTCACTTCCTCTTCAGATTACAGCAGCCAATAACAAATTAAGGTTTAAAAAAAGAAGTGAAGAACTATTTTTTAGCCCTTCGCAACAAGTAAGCAGTAATGAATTCTATTAGAAAGTATTTTTTAAAGATTTTAATCTTTGTGTAACTGTTTTGTTTGTAAGTGTCTTATTTGTTGTTGTGTGTTATATATAGGGGTGTGCAAAAATATCGGAATATCGATATATCGTATCATTTAATGTGATGATACAGTATCGATATCGTGGGCTACTGTATCGATATATCACCAAGAGTATTTTTACGTGTGTTTTACTAAATTATTTTGTTACAGCGCTACAGTTTTGTTGCATGTGGAGTGAAAGGAAACTCATTTATGCAACACATTTGACATTTTGACACTGTTTTGAAGATTAAAATGTTTGTGTTTCATATGAACGTTGCGCAAGAAGTGGTTTAACAAAGACTTTTAGTATCACAGCCATGATTTAGCCTTTATTTTTTATTGAACTGTATCGAATCGATTTGAAATATCATATCGAATCGAAAGTGCACTGTGTCGAGATATGTATTGTATCGTGGCCTGTGTATCGAGGTATGTATCGTATCGGCAACTTCTTAATGATACCCAGCCCTAGTTATATGTCGACCCCAGGAAGAGTAGCTGGCGTCACGGACATCAACTAATGGGGTTCCAAATCAAATCAAATCAAAACGATTCCCGAGATCGAGGATTAAAAGCTGGAATAAAGAGAATGTTTGGTGAATTTTATCAAGGAGAAAGACGTTATTGCCCTTCTTCCTACGGGATTTGGCGCATTACAAACGTCACGACCAAACAGCAGCGATTGGTTAAACAAAAATAGTACCTGCCTAACATCGAGCGAACGAATCCTAACGCTGCGAGGTCAGACGGTTTCCACAGAGTGAAACCGGCTGAATCCTCCAGCGAAGGTAGTCCTGACCAAGACCAAGATCTGGAGGTGCTTCTCACAGGTTGTCCCAGTGGCATTTAAGTATGAAGTATCAAATGCAGAGGACAAATTTCCCCATGGAGATCAATGACGTAAACCCCATCTTAAATTGAATGTCTTAAATTATTGGAGATACTGAGATGTTTGTTGTGCTGGCCAAGTTAGATACACTAAATTACTCAGACCGTTTTTTCTTCATTACATTTATCGCACATAATAAAAATAAATAAACCGCACTACTCACACCTTATAGATACTTTGCAGCTGATGTCATTAACAGTCTCTGGGGGTGTGATGCTAATTGTAGGCTCTGCTCTGTCTGGGGCTTTATTTGACTTTAATCTGAGCTCTTTTTTAACATAATCTGACCATAAAGGACTGACTTAGCCGGTGAGCAACAGGTGAGCTGATACGTGCTGTTAAACAAGTTTCTCTGACTTTAAAATTACAGTCACAAGTTCTCCAGCATTAGTCAGTTTTTGAGTTAGTCACGATGAAAATCAAACTCCCAAACATGACTGATCACGGACTCCTGAAATTGTGTTGTTTGCATCCAGTTTTTCTACGTATGGGTTATTTTGTTCAGTTTTCAGACACTTTTGAAACTTTTTTGGCAGTGTTTAGCATCATAGAGGTACATGTAGAACACCCCCAGCACGAAGTATCAACACTGAGATTCAGACAAAAGGGTACGTACTTGGACACAATAGCTCAAACATTGCAATATAATATCAAAAAGCAAAATATAAACGGAAATAAGATTCAGATTCGACGTAATTTAAGTAGCAAAATTGACAAAATATCGATATCCAATTCTCTCGATACGATATTTTCACGATGTGCATTTTAAAATTGTGAATATACTACTTTTCTCTCGTCAAAATCCAAGTAATTAAGATTTAAAAGTGCTTAATAACGTTATTTGAGCATTTACATTGGTCTGAAACTGCGCAAAGGATCATGGTCTATGTAGTTCCCTCAGATTTTTAGCTGTTGCTGCACCATAACAGTGAATTTAAGCAAATAAACTTGTAATTCGATATATTTTGATGGTCCATGATATTATTGTGAGACTTTTGACGATACGATATCACAATTTTTTGGTTATATATACAGTGTTACTTGTACTCAAGAGGTGTTGGGGTTACAGAAAAGGGCACAAAGATGAATTTGAAATGACAGAGTTTTATTATTCGATATGAGTAGTTGTACAGTTGTATGGAGTAAATATCTACCCAACTTTGTTATTTTAGACTCATTGAACTGGTGACAAATTGGGCTGTCACAATAATTACTATATCATTAATTCGACTTAGGTTTAGACTTAGACAGACTTTACTAATCCACAAGGGAAATTACTTGGACACAGTCGCTCACACATGACATTATATTACAATAAAAAACAGTAAACAATATAAAACTGGTGTCAAATAAGACATAATTATATAAATGTATATGTACAAGTAAGTAAGAAACAGAAATATAGTAACATAAATACAGTTATATACAAGAGGTCGTAAGGAAAACAGTGCAAAGATGATATGATGATTGACAGAAACAGATTTAATGTTCAGTATTTTGGAGAATCTGTGTATCATTCGTTCATTTGTTTTTCAAAATAAAACCAAAAATAAGAAAACGAAAAAAAAACAAAAAAAAACAAAACAATTTTCTTCATTATTTGTTTCCAAAACCAAAATGATAAAACAGATAATGATTTGTTTTTTCAGTTTTCGATTTTGTGTTTAAATAAATAATGGAAAAAACGGATAATGGCCGTTTCCCGTTTCCGACACTCCTGGTTTAGTCCTGGTTTAGTCCTGGTTTAGTCCTGGTTTAGTCCTGGTTTAGTCCTGGTTTAGTCCTGGTTCAGTCCTGGTTCAGTGCTGGTTCAATCCTGGTTTAGTCCTGGTTTAGTCCTGGTTCAGTTCTGGTTTAGTCCGGGCTCTGTCCTGGTTTAGTCCTGGTTTAGTCCTGGTTTTGTCCTGGTTTAGTCCTGGTTTAGGACTGAGACTGGGACCAGACCCGGACCAGGATTGAGATGGGATCAGGACTGGGAGCAGGATCAGGACTGAGACCAGGATCAGGATCAGGACCAGACCAGGGCTGAGATCAGGGCCAGGACCAGGGCTGAGATCAGGGCCAGGACCAGCACTGAGATCAGGGCCAGGACCAGCACTGAGATCAGGACCAGGACTGAGATCAGGGCCAGGACCAGCACTGAGATCAGGGCCAGGACCAGGACTGAGACCGGTTTAGACCTGGTTTAGACTTGTTTTAGACCTGTTTTAGTCCTGGTTTAGTCCTGATTCAGTCTGTATGCACTGCAAAAGTCCGGCATCGCAGTTTAAGTCACAGAAATGGGAAAACACAAAACACAAATCGAAAACTAAAAAAACAAATCATCATTTTCCGTTCTTTTCATTTTGATTTTGGAGACAAATAATGAAGAAAATAGTTGTTTTTTTTTCGTTTCTTATTTTTGTTTTTATTTTGAAAAACGAATGAACGAATGATACATGGATTTTGGAGCTCTGTATTTATCATGTGTACAATTTCTTTTCAAATAGTTGGGGGATTGTTGCCATTTTTTGGTTTTAAGTTCAGATTTGAGCTGTAGAGAGTCGAATAACTTAACTTTGGGTAATTATAGGTTCAGTCTAGTGTTTATTTCTTGCAGTTCAGGCCTTTTAACGATGCTGTATATTTAAAAATCTGTGTACTGGGACGATCCTGCTGTGTGTCAGTGTCATAAAGTAGTTTCAGTATTATTGTTTATCACAGTATTTGTCTAAAGCAATATATCATGCTTCAGAATTTGTTATTGTGACAGGCTGTCCTCCGGCTTCG